CTTGAAAAATTGTCAAGAATATAGGTTTATGGAACCGTATCTTATGCGTCTCCTGGTTCAAGAATTTATTTGGCCTCGTGAACGGATTTTGCAAAATGATCTTTTTTGTCGAGCCTAGCACACGCGATTTTTTATTTTTTTAGAATATTTCCCGACTCCCAGCCCCCCCATTTTCAATATGGTCCCTCACAGGGCAAAACTGCATGTATGTGCCAAATATGAAGTCGTTTGCTTGAAATTTCGGACACTTGTCGTGTTTCATAGCAAGGTTCAAAAAACAGTCGAAAATCGCGAAAAAAGATGGATGCCGGTCTCGGATCGAGGCCATTCCTTATAAGCTTATGTATCTCGTGGAGGGTTAAAAATGGGGCAAAATTCAATTTTGTAGCTCCAACGGACAGACAAAAAAAAATTGTCTTCGACGACGATCAGTTCTGTACCAATGGTTGTCCCCTAGGATCTACCTAGATACAAAATTTTTATACGAGCGTAGAAACTTTCGACAAATTCGATTTCGTCGATTTTTCGAAAGTAACAAACCTAACCAAAATTATTTGCCACGATTTTTTTTCTGTTTCTCTGTAACTCTAAATATGTATTTTTTATTTAGAAAATAAACCAGCCTCCTAGCAATAATTCCAATTTTACAAAGGAAAAATAGCGTATTCATGTTGTATTGTCTATAGAGAGTAACAATTTTTAATAATGTTTTGTGTGCGTGTGCATTTTTATTTATGTTACTATTAGTACTTCATGTCTATTGTTACTTTCTTCTAGAAAAAACTACTGAAAATATAAATGTTCTTAATTTCGAGTTAAAATCTGTCGAAATGGTTTGAGATTTAAGAAAATGGTTTTCAATTTTTAATATTTAATTTTGTGGGTGTTTGCTTTGCTTAGCTACGTTTCCTTTAGATCATTTGCTTATTACATCAATTAGATGTAAAGTACTAACAATGTAGTTAGCTTAGTTTTATTTTTTATTCTAAAATGTACATAAAATTTCAATGTTCGTTAGAAAAGGCATTTTGAACACTAGCACTTTGTTGTAGCTTTTGAAATAAATCTGCTTGGAGGGAAATCAACGAAATAATTTTTGGTTTTTCTTAGATATTCCAATTCTGTTAATTTTGGGAGTTTCAGGACAATATGCATCTAACTAAATATACAATTTTTAATCATTTAACGAACCCTGTTTCTTTAATGAAAAATTGGAAAAGTAACTAACTGCTTAGAAAAATATATTACCCTTTTATGATCAGTAACAACCAAAAAACTTCAATTTAGTTAATTATTATCCACACGTAATATTTCCGCATTTTAGAAATGAATCAGAAAATATATATTTGGAAAATTCGAGTTACAATAAATCGATTTGACGATGCATATAAAACTTAGAACGGTTTACTTTTCCGTTAAACAAATCCCTAACTTTACATAATCAAAACGTCTAGCTTAATGTATTTTCGAAACAACTGGGAATTGTTTACAAATGCGTCACGCGACACCATTCAGTGACTCAAGAAAGTCTCTGGCACGATCTCATGTATTCAACTATAATTTTGACCACTTGCCTTGTTAGTTTATTGATAATGTACGATGTTGAGTATATTAGTAAAAGCGTAGCATTCAATTTTTTCGCCAAGTCGCCTCGTTATTCAGGAAATGATTTTCAAGCTGCTTTTTATAAAAATAGAGGTTTACACATGAAGGTTACAATACAATATAAAAAATTAAAAAACCCCACGTAAGTAAAATCCAACTTTGGAAATAGTGATTTTTCAACAAATCTAAGAATCAGTTTCTGGTCTGCCAAGCAAAGATTGTATATTAATTTTTGCACAACCAAGCGTTTTGCTTTCCTTTATTTAAATTTTTGAAATCACTCTATAAAAAGAAGGAATCTCGCACGATGAGCCATCGGTAGGGTGTATTTTTAGAACCGTCTGAATAAGTTATGAGACCGACATTTATCCAAGAATAAAAGATACATTTCATATGCCTTCAGAGCAGATATAAATTTTCAGCTCGAACTGGATTTGCTTAAAATTAATGAAACGAAACATTTCGGTTTATCGAACAACGTTACGGTATCTTGCTCAAAAGATAAATTCTAATAAATCAGCTTAAAGAGAAAATACTACAATGCTCTAATTAGAGCTTTAAAGAGAATATACTAAAATGAAAAAAAGTGAAAATAATAACAAAAAAGATATGGTATACTTTTAAAAGTTCGCAGACTCTCAGAGACGACAGAAACGAACCTCTTCAACGGAAAAGAAAAAACCTGACACAAAAATACAAATACAAAGGTGGAAAATTTAAAATTACAAGTGAGTGAGTTAAGTGAAAAAAATTAATGCTGAAAGAGAAGAATGGCAATGTTAATCAAATCTCTCGATATTGTTCAACTATGCTAATAAACATAAAAAATAAATTACTTTTTTTTATGTCATTGGTTCTCAGATATTGTGATTTTACGATCTAATTATAATCTGATCATTGATCAAAACACGAAAATAAACCCGCTTAAATGCATTAACAGCTTCTTATAACAAGGTAGTGCGCATAAAACCTTACGACTGAGTCCTTTAAGTGGACTTATTTAAATAATTACATTCTCTTATCTCGCCCTTGCGTAAAAGATCCATTTCGTCCCCCCATCAGAAGCCGTATTCAGAGATCGGTGAGACGAATGAAAATTAGCGACTTGAGAAACATTGGGGTCCCATTGTTTTATCTCACGATCTAAGGGAGATGAAATCTATTTGCGATTAAATTTCTAGATTTTGAATAGAAACGGGAAAACTCATAGACATCAAAGTACTTTTCAAGAAATGCTCATCTTCGTTTCTATAAGATTTCAAAGGATTGAGTCACCTGTAACGCTTAAAATTATGCCAACACTATCTAGTCATATTCTGGTGGAAGAGAGCGATAAGAAGATGAAAAAATCTTACAATCTCAAACGTTCTGCACAAAAAAATACTCGTAAAGCTGTAGAACCGTTTTTTCCATTTTAGATTCAATAATCACAAACTTACATTTATTCTAGTCCAAGAAGTCTATCTAGTTCATTACTGGATGTTGTAAATTGACACAGAAATTCTGTTTTTTCAGTCTTGAAATCGTTATTTATGGTTATGGTAGTAATGTAGCTGAGACATACGGATCATTTTTGAATACGTCACTATAACTGCCCAGATTGGAGCATACATGTCACCGTTGTCGATTCTTGTTGACTAGTTTGACTTTTTAATATAATTGATTTAATTATCAAATTTCCATTTTAATTTTCACAAAGACATTGATTAAATTCAATTTATTAAATAAAAGATTCCCGACAAAAAGTTTAAACCATAAAATTTAATTAGAATCCCTTTTATTAAGTTAACACGAGATTCTTTTTGCAATTTATATAAAATACAGAAAAAGGAACGGAAAGAGGGAAAGAGAGACCGAGATAGTGAAATAATTGCTTTCGTCTCCTTAATTTCTTAATACCGGCAATGGTGCATTTATATAAACGAACACAAGTATTATAGCCAAGATGACACTTGAATTTTATGTTGTTTCATTTTTTCCTGTGTTTGCTTTTAAATTTTTTTCATATCAATGATATTGGAATTGTTGGAAGGAAAACAATATTAAGGTTAAGGTGATGAAAATTTTTAAAAGTAAACGATTAATTTAGCTAAAGTTTCACATTTAAATCGCGTTATCTACATTATTTTCTAATTACTGCAAAAATTATGTGGACGATTGTTATAATCAAAATTCAAGCGAGTATTGTAATTTACCAGACCCTTATAAGCTATTTTTGACAAAAATTACTAGTTTTATTAATTAATTAACAAATATGTTTTCTCCAGCGCCAACTGATCCAACAACTTTTTTGGAAGCATACCGTTTTTTATATTAAAAATTATTTTGTACTTTAGGGCATTTTTATTACTTTATTTTGTTTTCTAGAGTCTTTAAATGATCATGGTTTAATAAATACATAATAGGTGAACAAAGTGTGAAGAACGCTTGTATAATTAAATAAATAAATAAAACCGCCTTTATTAACAATAAAAAAATAATATTAAATATAGAGAACTGATTAATAATCTAGGTAGTTTCCCGTAAGAGATATTCTTTTAAATTAAATTAAAACCGCAATGAGGAACATTCTGTGATTGGCTAATCTGAGGATATTTATGAATTAGTCAAACAGATGTATACGAGAAGCAGGTTTTAGTCGTGCACTTTTTAATTTTATGAGGGGCATCCAGTTTTGAGTGGTTTGTGCAGAAAAAAAAATGCGATTCTTCTCGGCTCAATATATTTCACCATTTTATATCGTGAAGTTTATGACTTACATGATCTCTTCGTTTAAGGTTATAAATAAATCGAATACAGGAATTCTGTAATTTTTGTAATTTATAGTTTGTCAAAACATCCAAGCAGGCTCCATAAATAAAATTACACTAATTTAGATTACTCAAAACCACTGCTTTAGAGACCTTTTTTTAATCTAGAGTTTACAATATTTTTAGAGATTAATATAAGCGTTTTGGAGAATTTTGGAAACCTCCAACTCCAACTACTTAAATCCTTCTCTATTTTTTGTAACAGGCTCACCTTCGTAGCAATTCTTTTCGTAATGACTGGAAAAAGTTAAATTACACCCATTAACTTGTTGAATTTCTTTTATTTCCTGTAAAAATCCGTTCATTGCCATGTGTTATATCTACTCTTTTAATATCATAAATTAATGTCTAATTTTACTATCCTCGGAATATAGTTTTTCATTACAGTCATAATCATTTGTAGCCAACGACGCAACTTATACTTAGTAACTTGTCATTCATATATATAAAACTAAAAGGTTAGAGCCCATGACCGTCCCTGGGGGGTCCTACAGAACGTAACCGCACCTAAATCGCCGTAAAGCCCATACTCACTCTCTAGAAGACAAATTTACGCCTGAAATCTAACAAAAACGATCGACTCACCTGACATTTGGGATATTGCTCCTCCGTCGGTCTCTCCATCTTCCACCCCAGTAGCGGCGGGATGCATATTAAAGCGGATAGAACCCAGACGGCACCGATCATCAACACCGCTCTCATAGGGGTACGCTTTTTCAAGTACTCGACCGCTTGGGTGATGCTCCAATATCTGTCCAACGATATCAGACACAAGTTCATGATCGAGGCGGTACTCAACAAAACGTCCATGGCGGAGTGAACGTCGCACCACCAGGCGCCGAAGATCCAATAACCCATCAGCTCGTTCGCCAACGAGAACGGCATTATCACCAAACCGAGGAAAAAATCCGCAACGGCCAGCGACGCGATAAACCAATTCTGGATATTTTTCAACGCCTTCTCCGTCGTTATGGCTATTATAACTAACATATTACCCACGACAACGACTATCATTAAGAGCGTAACTACGAACGATGCTACGATTATTTGGGGCAGAGTGTATCCGCTGGGATAATGTGGTACGGCCACGGTCGAGTTGGTAGCGTTCACGCCGGTCGAATTGTCCAGCAGCATCAACATCTCCTCCATGGCAACGGCCGTCCGAACAGTCACGTTGACGAGTGCCATATTTTTTTTTTACAAACGTTATTATATTTCGAATTAAGTTTTTTCAATGGTTGATTTTGTTGGTCCCTAATCACACTATTTACAGTACCCGTTTGACCCGAAACTGTGCCACGAATCGGCTTATGTTAATTAATAACGAAACCATACGGAAAAACCAAGCTGATAGTTCACTAACTAGTTTAGAATATCAATGAGAGTGGTGTGTCCGAGGTGTGCGTCGGGATGCCACCGTTGAGGGCGGCGAGGACCGGAAGTAGGAGCAGCGTCGTCGTCGTCGTCTTCGGCCGAGCTTCGTGGTTCACAGGGCATGTTACCGCCTGGCTCGACGACCGCACACTGTGTGAGAGAAGGGCGCCACCGACGCCAGTCGACGGTCCGCGACGCCGCCGTCCTCGCATGCGTCCTTAGCCTTTGCCTTCGCCGCACCATTGCGAACTATAATCGCGAATTGACAATCGCGGAAGCGGTCAAACGTTCGGAAACCGCGAACGCAACGGAGTAAGGCAGATTTTCACGTCGACGTGTGCAGTAGCCGATTACTGGTTAAGGGGCGGTGCATCACGTCCTGTTTCCCTGAAAATCACGAAAAAAATCTCTATACGAAAGTTTCTCAATTAAAAAACAAATCAAAATAAATAAGAACTAAAAGTTCAGATTTTCACGAAATTATATATTTTGACATGACACCGAGTCTTTGTCGCATTTGATAAAGACACAATTGTCATGTATAAATATATAATTTCTTTAAAATCTGAACTTTTAGTTCCTATTTGTTTTGATAAATGGATTTTCATCAAGTAAAAGCCACCTCAGTTCAATTTTTTAAAAAACAAATAGTTAAGAGATTGTGGTTAGGCCTAAAGTTCTGATACGTAACTCCGTCACTCGGTAAATATATTGATGACAGTGTTAGAAGATTTACGACCATATAATTTGAAGGTGATGTCATCAAACGGTTTGTTTATACAGGTGTGGGCTAGTATGGCGGAACTTGCTGGAAACAATTTTCTACTCCCGAATAATTTTTTTTCTACTCCCGTCTGTAAAACACCTAATTACACACCGATCTAGCTTGCGGGAAGCGTCACCTTACTAAGTCAGTTTTATTTCCCACAGATCCGAGCCACTTCGGACATTTCCGGGATTTTACCGCACGGGTTTGGGAGCAATCGGATGTTTTCGGAGATATTTTCTACGCTTTGAATTTTGAAGTTTGTCAATTCTGACGGTCATGTAAGTATTTGTGTTGTTTTGCGAAAATGTATCCAAAAACTAACGGTCGTAGAAAAAGTATAGTATGCAACACGTTCGGTAAATTTTTGACTCACTTGTTTATTAAAAACTGGCTCCGCTGGGCCCCGCTCGTCTCAAATAATCTCGTGAGTCAAATGCCGTTTACCGCACTTATTGCATAATATACTATTTCCGCTCCCGTCTGTAAAATATCTAATTACACACCGATCTAGCGTGCGGGAAGCGTCACTTTACCACGTCAGTTTTATTTCCGTGATTTTACCGCACGGGTTTGGGAGCAATCGAATGTTTTCGGAGATATTTCCCACGCTTTGAATTTCTGTCATGCCAGTGAACGTATTCGTGTTTTTTTTTGCGAAAATATACCCAAAATCTAACGGTCGTAGAAAAAGTATAGTATGCAACACGTTCGGTAAACTTTTTAAGTCACTCGTTTATTAAAAACTCGCTCCGCTCGTGTCTAATGAACTTGTTACATAATATATTATTTACGTTGCAGTCTGTGAGTCTGTCTTAATACGTTGACCATGCCATACTATTGACTGTATTATTGACAGTCGCTTATTACAGAAATCATTTTCTCAAATAAAAGTACCGCCGCATGGTATCAGGCGCGACGGTGGATTTGAGGACAACCTAATTGTGTATTTAAAATTAACGTGAAAAGAGTTTTTTTATATTTTTACACGCACCTGCAGAGTTTATTAAAGGGGATAGACAAAAAATTTTTATACAAAAGTGTTATGATTTTTTTCTATTATCTTCTAAACACCAATATAAACAAATGAGTGCCGTAAATTTATAAGAAGTTAACAATTTCACTTTTTTAAATATTTTTGTATTTCTACTTTTTTAACTCGATTAAAAAATATATGTAGTTGGTCGGTATTTGGTTTAACCGTTTTTGAAAAAACTCGGGTTTAAAATTCCAAAATAGGATTTATTGATCAACATTGTTTAGAGTTTCGACGTTTTCCAGGCCAAAATATTCCTTCAAGGAACAAGATTGATAATACAAAAAATATTAAGTGGAAGACTAGAACTGTGGTTGGAAAACAAGAAAAGGAAATTTTTATTTTAAAAGTACCAGGACAAAAAAAGGTTTGTGTTAATTGTCTAGAAAATCCCAAGAAATCAATTCTAGATGCTGCTACAAAAATTCATAATACTTAAAAAAAACCATTTCCATCACTACAAATATTCACAAGTATAAAATTGAATTTACGCTCATTTGCCTGATTTACATCGTCTTGACGCATTCTTATTTAAAAAATAAAATATATTACGTTAGACCAGAAAATAAAAATATTTTAAGTTAAAGAATTGAAAACAAAATAATTTTACTTTGCTTTTACAGAAAGCATTCTTGTTTTGTTTGGAGAGTAATCACAAGTATGTTAAGAAAAAATGTGTTCAGCTGTGATTACGTTGAAAATGTGTAAATTAATCATTATTTGAATTACTGTTTGATTAAAAAATATACTTATAGCTTTTCTTTTCCGAAGCAGGGTGTTCCATTTAAAAAAGTGAAGTTGTTAATTTTTTATACATTTGCGGAGCTCATTTTATTTTTATTGCTACGTTGAATAGATAATAGAGAAAAAATCACCCAACTTTTGTATAAAAAGTTTTTACCAGTCTTCTTTAATGAAGTGGATGTGTGAAAAGCATGTGCATATTTCAAGGCTCCTAGCATTTTGTGTGACTCCAAACGTTCTTTTGAGGATTTATTTATTTAACACTATTTTATAGCTATATTAGATTTAACCTCGAGTGCTACGCGATAATTTGGTCTGCGGTATACATTGAATATATAGAGAAAATTATTTAAGTTTCTTACTTTTTAAATTCATGGTTTGGTCCCGACAACAGATACTGAGCAGTCATTAATTTTAGAAAAATTTAATCTACCCTTCTTAAAATGTCGGAGAAATTATTTCCTTATGCAAAATTATCCAAAATTGACTGTTTCGAGTTATATATACTCGCAATTCGCCGTTTTTTTTTTTGGTTCTACATAAATTTTTCTCAATCAATTCAATTTTTAATCTATCAATTTTCTCTTAAAAACTCCCTGATATAATGCCATATGCCTTTTTAATAACCATTATGGTGAGATTGATATATTAAATCTCTCGGATTAATCGGCTGTTTAAGATTTAAGATTAAGTCAAAATTTCTACTATTACTATTATGTTACGTCTATGCTACCATTATGTGCACTTTTCTATATTTCCTCTTATTACATATTTATGTCTTTTTTTTCATTCTTTTTTAAATCTTATTTGCTTAATTGATTTGCAAAATATATATTGTCAAATTATGATATCAATGGATGTTTGTAATTGGTACACAATAAATGATTTTTATTATTATTATTTAAAAATAAACAGTTCTTTCAATTTGGATCTGAAAATATGTTTTTTAGCAAAAGGTGTCATACAAAGTTATGTGAAAATACTTATAAAACGACGACTTGAGTGAATTGGTAAATAAACAAAAAGTTATGGCAGTAAAACCTCTAATATATTGAGCAAGCTTAGTATCCCATCACCAAAGTACAGAACTCATACCAAATATTTGCTCATGACCAAACATACAACATCACCAAAAAAATGAACTCTAACTTTGAAAAATGATTTAAACAATTCAATCATAATATAATATTACAAAATTTTCTTTTTTGATATTACTAGAATACGCCTTAAAGTTGCGCACATCGTTGTAGCAATTCCGAATGTCAATCTCAAATAAATAATTTAAAATTTTTTAATTAAAAAACTAAATATGCGAAAAATATCGAATATTTTTAATTGGAATTTTTAGGTATCCTTTTATAGCCCAAAGACATTTTGCTCTCTACTGAAGCTTCTATAAAACTGTTTCAATATGCTCTATTATTGTCGATTACTAATTGAAAAAAAAAAAACTGTAATATTTGACTGCTTTTCCCAATAACGTTTTGTCCACCGATTTGCTCCAACCACAAATTATTTTGTAGGCATTATCAAGGCACACCACTATTCTTTCAGCTATAAGAAAAAAACTGTGTTTTTTCCCCATAATTGTTAACAAACAAATAGTTGCGCAAGTTATTATATTATTATTACATTATAAATTAAATTATATCATTTTTATTAAGTTAACGTGGGACTTGATTTCTTGCAATTTATACAGACAAAACGTAGGGCAAAAGAGAAATAATAATAATAGCGACTTCGTAATTTCTTAATGTCGGAAATGGTGAACTCATGTCCAATAAAAGTATTTCAGCAAAGATGACATAAAATTTTAAGATCGGAGTTTTATTTTTTCGTGTGTTTGTTTTTAAATTTTGTTGAATTAGATATGTTTCGATACAACATCTGGTAAAATCATTAAATAAGTGGATTCAATAAAATGGAATTTTATATCGTACTTGTTATTAAGAAAATAACATATATGTTGCTTAACGATTTTCTAAAAGATACAGCGAAACAGCGAGTTTAAAAGGGAAGGCAATTAATTTAAAAATCATTAAATAAGTGGATTCAATAAAATGAAATTTTATATCGTACTTGTTATAAAGAAAATAACATATATATCGCTTAACCAGTTTCTGAAAGATAGAGCGAAACAGCGAGTTTAAAGGGAAATCAATTAATTTATTTAAGACGTCACATATAAACCGCAACATTCTCTACAGTATTGCTTTTAAATAAATAATAAATAAATATAATAAAAATTAATATTCTAAATAAAGAAAGGATTTTAGAAATTTTGATTATGTATGAAATTGACAGTCAGTCAAGCTGCCCATTCACATGTTCATTCCATAACTGTCGACTAGCATGTCGTCAGTAGAAATTGAGCCGTTCTGGCCGTGGACAGGTCTTTGCCTGCAGTTTACTTAAATCTCATAGTTTACATCTTCAGTTCGTCAAATCTTTTGAAGATTTTTTATAGTTTTCTTCTTCTTCCGTAGCGTCACAACCCTTCGTGGGTCTTAGCTGCATCTACGACTCGTCTCCATCTGTCCCTGTCCAACACAACCTCCTTCTAGTTCCGTACTCCCAAGATTTTTACATCCTCTTCGATATTGTCCCTCCATCTGAGCCTTGGTCTTCCTAAGGGTCTCTTTCCTGCTGGGTTTTCTTCCCATATCCTCTTTACAAGACGTTCATTCGGCGATCTCTGCACGTGTCCAGCCCACCTGAGCCTTTGTGCTTTTATTTCGTTTACTAAACTCGGTCTTTTGTACATGTCGTTAAGCTCCGCATTCGTTCTTATTCGATATTGACCCGTTCTCTCATCTATTGTTGGTCCAAAGATTTTCCGCAACATCCTTCGTTCAAAGCGTCTTAACACTAGTTCGTTCTGCTTTGTCATTGTCCATGTTTCCGAGCCATACATTACGATTGGCTTGATTACTGCCGAATATATCCGTAGTTTTGAGTTCCTAGATATCAGTCGGGACTTAAACAGGTTCTGCAAGGCGAAAAAACATTTATTGCCCTTTTGTATTCTTGCTTTTATTTCGCTGGTGATATCGTTATCCGAAGTTATAACTGCTCCTAGGTACTGAAATTGGTTTACGCATTCAAAATTGTGGGTGTCCATGGTTATGTTCTGTCCTATTCTGCCCCTTCCTGCTCTCCGTCCGGCCCACATATATTTGGTCTTGTCCTCGTTGATCATGAGTCCTACCTTCTTGGTCTCCTTCTCTATGTTCATGAACATTTCTTTTGTTTTAATCGTACTGCTTCCTACCGTATCAATGTCATCGGCATATGCCAAAATCATTTCTGGGCCCTTATTTGTAAATATTTACAAGCCAATATTCGCTTCTTTGATGGCCATGTCCAGCACTATGTTGAAAAGCAATGGTGAAAGTCCATCGCCCTGTTTTAGGCCATTGTTAATGGAGAATGCCTCGGTGTTGTTCTTTCCTACCCTA